CTTTTAAAGAGGAGCTGTCAGTTATCTGTACACTTTTCCATTAAGATGGCAAGGGATAATTTACCTTGAATTTTCCAGTTAAAATTGTGTTACATCCAGGTTTACTTCCAAAAGAAACAACGCAGGTGAAATACAGATTTAGGCTGGGTGTTGCCAGTTGACTTTACAAAAACCCTACCCCTCAACCCGGGGCCTCAAAGAGAAACAAACATGGAGTCTGGGTCTCACGTCCTTCTCAAGAATTTCTGGCTTTGTTCACTTGTTTATCGAGGAAACAGATTCTGGAGAGATTTCTTCTGGGTACCTCATGAAATAAGTCTGTACAATGGGATTAAAACCAGAACTCCTCCCCTCCCCAGCCTCTGATGCCAGAGTCTGGACCAGGCAGCCTGTCACATGCAAGCCTCCATCCTAACCTGCCAGGTCTCCATTACCCCGACACAGCCCAGCTGTCCCCACCAGATACTTGGGAACCAACTCCACAAGAGGCACAGCTGGGTGACTGCCAATTAGGCCCGCCCTGAGCAAGAGGCTGCCCATGCTTCTTACGAGTGGAGGGTGACTCACTCTGCTCTCTTTTCTAATACGATTTATTTTCTTCTGCAGAAGAGGACCCTTTCCCCAGTGATTATAGGCAGTTCTTAGATTCTCACAGTCAAAAAAGATTTCTAGATTTTCTAGGACTCTTCTCTCAACTGCTGCAATTCTGTTAATAATTTTAGCTATTCTGAAAATTTTATCATCAAGTCTATTAGAATTAAGAGAGTAGAAATTCTCAGACCTCTCAATTTTGCATGTTTTTGGCAGCCTCATTAAAACATCCTTACAGGGACTTAGAGAAAAAAAATAACATTGTGGGGCAGAGTTTTAGTTGGCAGACACTAAATCTTGTGTGTTATAGAGCAGAAAGGGGCTGCTAGAAGTCTCCTTTATTTGTCCCATTTTATAATTGTATTAGATTTGGTGAAAAGGTAACTTATTATAAAAGACAATTAAGTACAAATAATGGCAGGGTGTAAAAATAAACATAAATCTGTAATCTTGACTGTAAAGTTGTGTGTTAAGGAGGATTGAAATGGGCAAAAAAATTAATCAGAATATACAAGCTTTAGTGTTTACTGCTGCCACCTTGTACAACTTTATCCTTTTATTAGAATTTTGGTACCCTAGTTTCCATATTTGAATTTTGTGATGTGCTTTGAATGTTCTGTTTTTACATGAAATATCTTCCCTTTAAATTCAAGTTAAATCTATTCTGTTTAATTTTTTTGAATATTCAGTTATTTCTGCAGTGGATGCCATTTGCTCTGTTGCCATTGTCCTGATTTCTCTTACACTTTACATTACACTTGTTAAAGTTTTTAGCCAATGTCCCCAAGTTAATTCTAAAATCATATAGGAACTATTAATAAGTGCTTTGTACCTTTAGAATAGTAGTTGCATGGCTCATCTCCATATACCACAAACACACAAAAATGCCTCCTGGCTTATTGTCAGGCTCATTTTGAGGCAGAAACTAAAACCATTACCCATTTGACAGTTCATCTGGTTGTTTGAAGTTCTTAATGATTACTGCTTCTCCCAAACTTTTATAATTTTTGATATTAAAGTATGAAAACAATATTCTCATCCTCTATACTTTTCTTAGAATTCCTTTCTAATATTTGGAAAAATTCAAGAGTTTTTTTTTTTTTTTTTTTCCTATATGCTTTATTTTCGTCCCCTCAAGTAAGTTTAGGTTTTTAGATTATAAAGTTAAGTCTTGCAGAAAGTTTGGGGACAGGAGAAATAACTCCTTGTTACCAACATATATTTCTGTTATGCTAATACAATTACTGTTTTCCTTCTTTTCTTTCTTTCTTTTTTTTTTTTTTTTTTTTTTTTTGCGTTACGCGGGCCTCTCACTGTTGTGGCCTCTCCCGTTGCGGAGCACAGGCTCCGGACGCGCAGGCTCTGCCGCCATGGCTCATGGGCCCAGCCGCTCCGTGGCATGTGGGATCTTCTCGGACCAGGGCACGAACCCGTGTACCCTGCATTGGCAGGCGGACTCTCAACCACTGCGCCACCAGGGAAGCCCTCTTGCATTTTTTAATGGAACAAATGCCACTGTGCTAGTGGGGTTCCTTCATGGTGATAATTATGGTGTAGAAGTTAAGTGTGGAAGCTCTGGCAGCAGAATGTTCCTGAGCCTGCCTTTACCTCTTAAGTCCGTGGAGCAAGTTGAGTGATCTTTCTGTGCCTCCGGTTCCCCCGTTTTAATATGGGAACAGTGAATGTGCTAACTTCACAAGACTGTTTTCCAGACTAAATGAAATCGTGTGCATTGCATGGTCAACTTCTAGTGATTGATAGCCTTCATTACATATAACTTTTTTTTCCCATTTTCAAGACTGTTTCCTTTAAGTTAGATTACAAAAGAAGCATTCTCTGTTAAAGAGTATAGATATTTTTACAGCTCCAGTTATATATTACCAAATTACTTTTTTCCAAAATGGTTATAGCAGATTTGTAATGCAACCACCAAGCATGAAAGTATCTCACCAGCTTTGCATATTATCCCCCCAAATGATATGTATTTAGCAAGCAAGGTATGTTGCCTTTTTGCTGTTTTAATTGGTATTTCTTAAGTTTATGATTGTAGTCCCTCTTTTTGGAATTCTCTTTATGTGCTTTCCCATTTTTCTGCTAGGGTCTCTGTTTTTGATCATTAGTTTGCATGGCCTATTAATAAAATATTAGCTACTTGATGAAACTATTTTTCACCATGGACTTTTTAATTTTGGCTATGATATTTATTTTAATTTGCAAAAGTTTTACATTTTTATGGTCTCTAATATGTCAGTTTCATCCTTTCAGACTATATGTAAGATTAGTTTTTCTTCCAGAGCTCTGGAAGTATTTGATTTCACTTTCTTTTAGTTTTTCTAGATTGGTACTTTTTGAAGTGTGAACTCTGGGTGACCTGAATCCAAACAGTATTTATTAAATTGCAGATTCCTGGGCACCACCAGGCATGCTGAATCAGAATCTTTATGATAGAGCCCAGTAATCTGCATGTTAAGCCAGCATCCCAGGTGATCTTAATGCCTGTTGAAGCTTGAGAATTCCTATTGTGTCGTTATATTTTTAAAGGCATCTCTTAGACACAACCCTCCCTACCTCCCCCTGCATCACACACTGAAGCCACAAGGTGTGAAACCTTGGAAGTCTTTCCTACCTTTCTCTTATCTTTCAGTTCCAGGGTGTCAGCAAGTCCTGTTGATTCATTCTTCCAAACTTCTGTAATAAGCACCATTTAATTTTTCATTTTGTACTCCTACCATCTCAATCCAGAGTCTTGCTACTTTATGTAAGTATTTCTTTAACTGTTTCTCATCCTTGTCTTCTTATTCACCCTCCGTTGCAGGCAATTTTCCTAGAACACTATTTTCATCTTCATTTTATTGGTCAAAAACCTTGAAATGTGTCTGTATTATCTACCAAATCATGGACATTGACTTTTGAGACCAGTAGTCTTAAACTGTGCATTAGTTTTCTATTACTGTTGTAACAAATCATCACAGACTTAGTGGCTTAAGACAACACACATTTGTAATCTTACTCTCAATGTGCCGGCAGGACTTTGTTCCTTCTGGGGGGTTTTAGGAGAGAATCAGTTTCCTTGCCTTTTCCAGCTTCTAGAGGCTGCCACCTTTCTTGACTCATCACCTTCTTTTGTCTTCAGAGCCAGCAACCACATCACTCCAACTTCTATTTGCATCGTCACATCTCCTGTCATCACATCTCCTCTCTCTGACTTGGTCACCTCTGCCTCCCCCTTGAGATAACATTGGGCCTACCTGGATAACCCAGG